CAATAAATATATAAAAAGATGCTCAATATCATTAACTATCAGGGAACTGCAAATGAAAATCACAATGAAATATTACTTTACACCCACTACAATAGCTGTAAGTTTAAAAAAACTGGAGAAGAACAAGTTTGGGTGAGTTTGTGGAAAAACTGGAACCCTCATCTATTGCTGGTGGGAATCTAAAACAATCTACACACTTGGGAAAACAGTTCGTCAGTTCCCCAAAATGTTAAAAAGAGCTGCCATATAATCCAGCTACTCCATTCCTAGGTATACAGCCAAGAGAAATCAAAACGTGTTTATACAGAAACGTGTACACAAATATTCACCACAGCATTATTTACAATAGTCAAAAAGTAGAAAATAATCCAAGCGCCCATCAACTGATGAATGGATAAACAAAATACGGTATATCCATCAAACTGAGTATGATCCAGCCATGAAAAGGAAAAAGTATTGATGTAAGCCACAACATGGATGAACTCTGAAAAGTAACGGTAAGCAACAGAAGCAGATCCAAAAGGCCATGTTATATGATTCCCTTTATATAAAATGTCTGAAATAGGCAAATCCAGAGAGAGAAAGTAGGTCAGCAGTCACCTAGAACTACAGGAAAGGTGGGTACTGGGCTTCCTTCTTGGATGCTAAAATGTTCTGGGATTAGATGATGATGACAGTTGCACAGCCATGTGAATATTAACAAACATTACTGAACTGTAGACTACAAAATGAGGGCTTTGATGGTATGTGAATATTTACTTCTGTTTTTTAAAGCAATAGTTCAGTTTTTTTAAAAGGTCCACTGGTGTGCCTGCTGAATCTTCCTTGTATTTATAGCACTTAGATGTTTCATTAGGATTCTCTACTGATATGCTACTTCTCACCTGTTGTGCAGGACCGTTTGCTGAGAGGGCCACGGCCGGGGAAGTGGCAGTGGTGATGACCCCTCCAGCTACTCTCAGCATTGTGGTTCCGGGCTTTGAGAGCTGCGAGGTGGCTGGCACAGTCTTCAAGGTGCTGTCGGATATTTTCATTAGAGATGCCTGTCCTCCATGGGTTGCCTGCAGAAACAAAAAGAGCAGAAGGAATAACGCTGCCTTGGATAATGGGCATAACTCACTCCTTATTGACAGTTGAGATACGCCCCAAGAACTGCAGAATATCCAAGAAAGTCTTACCAATCGAACCTACACGAGGTGTTTATGTACCTTTCTAACAAGCTCTAAATTTTATGACCTTTCACCTGTAAATATCCCTTCATTCCTAACACAGAACAAGTAAATAAATGCATTTGCAAGTTACTATTTGACAGCAGTGTCTTCAAAGGTAATAGGTCAGTTGTTTTCAAAATAATTGATTACAATGTGCTCTTAATTGATTACAATGTACGCATAATCTCTAAACATGAAAATCAACCCTAGGCAGGACCAGATTTAAAGGGGTAAGTTAATGGTCTTCCAAATTAGATACAAGCTTAGCATTTTAGAACTGGAGAACCATTTACAAATTACCTATTTTTTATTTTATTTTTTGAGATGGAGTTTTACTCTTGTTTCCCAGGGTGGAGTGCAATGGTGCGATCCTGGCTCACCACAACCTCCGCTTCCCAGATTCAAGAAATTCTACTGCCTCAGCCTCCCAAGTAGCTGGGATTACAGGCATGCACCACCATGCCTGGCTAATTTTGTATTTTTAGTAGAGATGAGGTTTCTCCATGTTGGTCAGGCTGGTTTTGAACTCCCAACCTCAGGTGATCCGCCCACCTCAGCCTCCCCGAGTGGTGGGCTTACAGGTATGAGCCACCATGCCCGGCCTTTTTAATTTTTTTAGAGACAGGGTTGAGGCTGCTGCACTCCAGCCTGGATGACAGAATGAAACCCTGTCTCAAAATCAAAACAAAAACTTGAAACAGAACTACCATATGATTCAGCAACCCATGTGTATATATCCAAAAGAAAATAAATCATTCTATCAAAAAGAGGCATGCACTCCTATGTCCATCACTGCACTACTCACAGTAGCAAAGACATAGAATCAACCTAGGTACCCTTCAATGGTGTACTGCATATACCACAGGATACTACACGGCCATGAAATGTAAGAAATCATTTATTTTGAGGCAATGCAGATGCAACTGGAGGCCATTATCCTAAGTGAATTAATGCAGCACAGAAAACCAAATGCTACATATTCTCACTTATAAGTGGGAGCTAACCACTGGGTACATGTGGACACAAAGATGGCCACAGTTAAGAGATGGGGGAATATTAGATGGGGCAGAGAGGGAAGGGTTAAAAACTATTGGGTACTATGCTCACTCCCTGGGTGACAAGATCAATCATGCCCCAAACCTGAGCAACATGCAATGTACCCATGTAACAAACCTACACATGTACTCCCCTGAATCTTAAAAAAAAAAAAAAAAAAAAAAAGCTGAAATTATAAAAAACAAAGAGCAGCAACAACAAAACCGGGAAGCCTTGGCCATACTTTGCTGAAATCTGGTCTAAATGACTGCTCAGTGTCACAAATTAATGCACTCCACACCATTTATCAGTTTCTGAGATCTTACTATGTGCCAGGAAGAACGGAAAGCACGCGTACATATCTTATATCATCATAAGTCACTATTTTCACTGTTAGATTAGTGAATTTTACTCATGTCTTAGCGACCAAGAGATTAATTTAAGCTCAGTGACTTTACCAGGGTCACACAGCTAGCAGTATCTGAAGAAGTTATGACTAGATTCCACAAGAAATAGCCACGGCATAATTTGCACTGGAGCTTTATGCGAATAATAACCACAACAAGGTATGACTTTGCACTGACAACAACAGCTAATATGAAGAAGAATGACAATCCTCCGTGTTGGTGAGGATATAGAGTAAATGGAACTTCTTCATATTACTTTGGGAGAGTCAAACAGGACAACTATTTTACTAAACCATTTGTCAGTTTCTAATGAACATATATCTACCCTATGATCAGGCTGTTCTGCACAAAAAGATCTGTCTAAGAACGTTTACAGCAGTTTTATTCACGACAGCAAAAAAACAAACAAACGGAAATAATCCAAACATCCATCAACAGGAAAGTGGAGTCATGGAACAAAAACAGAGTAACTCTGGCTGGGCGCAGTGGCTCACACCTGAAATCCTAGAACTTTGGGAGGCTGAGGCAGGTGGATCACCTGAAGTCAAGAGTTCAAAACCAGTCTGGCCAACATAGTGAAACGCCATCTCTACTAAAAATATAGACATTAGCTGGGTGTGGTGACAGGTGCCTGTAATCCCAGCTACCTGGGAGGCTGAGGCAGGACAATTGCTTGAACTTGGGAGGTGGAGGCTGCAGTGAGCTGAGATCATGCCATTGCACTCCAGGCTGGGCAATAACAACAACAAAAAAACTGTCTCAAAAAATCCACAAAAACAAAAAACAACACACACAACAATAAAAACAAACAAAAATAGAAAATCTCAAGAATAAAAAAATAAACTATTATACATACGGATAAATCTCAAAACCTTATTCAACAGAAGCTAGACATAAAAGACTACATACTATATAATTCCACTGATATGAAGTTCAAGAAAGACAAAAGCTAATCTAAGGTGAAAGAAAGAGAAACAGTGATAGGAAAATAATTTTTTTTTCTTTAAAGACACAGTGTTGCTCTATCACCCAGGCTGGAGAGCAGAGGCTGGAGAGCAGAGAGCATGGCTCACAGTAGCCTCAACTTCCCAGGCTCAAGCCTTCCTTCCACCTCAGCCTCCCAAATGGCTAGAACCACAGGCATCTACCACCATGCCCAGCCTTTTTTTTTTTTTTTTTTTGGGTAGAGACAAGGTCTACCTATGTCACCCAGGCTGGCCTCAAATTCCTGTGCTCAAGTGATCCTCCTGCCTCAGCCCTGCAAAGTACTGGGATTACAGGCAGGAGCCACGGTGCCTACCCCATGGAATGTTTTAAGAGTGATAAAACTATCCTGTATCTTTATTGTGATACTGATTGCATGAATACACAAATTTGTCAAAACTCACCGAAAAGCACACTTACAATCTATGTATTATTTTATATCTTAAAGGATGCGGGGCTAAAAGGAAAAAGCATTTAAAGCTTTGAATTTTCTTGAGCATGATTTGGGTTGTTTCCATAGGTTTTAATATGAAGTACTGCTGTGATGGTTAATTTTATGTCAACTTGAGTGGGCTGAGGGATGCCCAGATACCTGATAAAATATTATTTCTGGAAGAAACCAGCATTTGAATCAGTAGACAGAGTAAAGAAGATCTACCCTCACCAACGTGGGCAGATATCATCCAATCTGTCAAGGACCTGAATAGAACAAAAAGGCGGACAATGGGCGAATTCTCTCTCTCTCTCTCTCTTCTGAAGCTGAGACAACAATCTTCTCCTGCCCTTAGACATCAGAGCTCCTGGTTCTTGGGCCTTCAGACTCCAGAACTTAACACCGGTGTGCCCCTCACTCCCATCCCTGCCGGTTCTCAGGCCTTTGCAATCAGACTGAATCCACCACTAGCTTTCCTGATCCTCAGCCTGCTAACAGCACAATGTGGAACTCCTTGGTCTCCAGAATCACATGAGCCAATTCCCGTAAAAAATTTCCTCTAAATATATATATGTGTTCTATTTGTTCTGTTTCTCTGGAGAACCCTAATAAAATTGTCATTTGTATTAACAGCTAAATCATCCATAATTTATTTGGATTTTTTTGATCCAAGAATTTAGAAAAGTATTTTAAAGTTTTTTGGTAATTGTTATTGATTCGACTTTATTGAGTAACAGAATGAAGCACATTGAATGCTACTTTTGAAATATGCTAAGAGATTCTCTTTGTGGCCAAGAAATTTGTTAATGTTCCATAGAGATACAAGCAAAATGTGTATTCGCTGTTTCAATGATACAGAATTAAGCCTGTTAGTAGTGTTATTCCAACACAAATCCTTTAAAATACAAAAAGATTTATCCATTTGATTAGCTAAATGCACATGTTAAAATTCTTCTCTGTGACTGTAGTTTTATCAAATTCTCCTCATATGCCTAAGTCTTTGCACTTCAGGTATTTTGCTGCCGCAGAGTTCACTGCATAAACATTTGTGCCATTTTATCTTCACAGTGGACAGCAATACTCCTCCCAGCACCAAATCCGAAAAACTAGAAAAGACACAAATAAATAAATGTATTCTACTGGTTGTGTTCAAAAAATAGTTGAAGACCCCAATACTGGACAAGAAACTATGAAAAACAGACAAGAGGCTGCAGAAGAAAGCCTCACCAAGTGATAAAAGCCTTATGCGGGACATGCTGGAAGCATCTACCACAGAGTGTGGAAAAAACGCTAGAGATATGGGCCACATCTGGAGATGGCAGAAGCTCGAGGCAACCAGAAGGGTGGCGTGTTGGGCGCTGCAGCAAGAGCAGCCAGTTCTGTTCAGCTCCCAGCGCTCTCCAGGCCCTGCGCCCCCGCCTCCTCCTTCCTGTGGAGCTTGCTGTGTTGGTTTGAGATACACACACATATGTAGCTGGAAAAGGGAAGAGTATTTTAACAGCTCTTTCAAATACTGTTGTTATGTTTCTCCGATGCTACGCTAAAGCTAAACAAGTGGATGCTTCTTCAAGTTTAGTTGTATTATGCAACCTGAAACCACCACAATTTAAAGTTTTCTCTGTTAAATCTCAAGTCGGAAAAGTAAAAAAACAAAAAAATAAAAATAAATAAAGTTTTCTCTGTCAAGTTAAAATCCGTTGGTCAGGGACTTTTGCTTCCACGTAGGAAACAGAAGGCTGTAAAGCATGTTGCTCCAACCCTAACAAGAAAAGGCTGGACACACTACAAAATCTGATTTTTCTGAAACATATTTGAGGGCTGAAATCTCAAAGTAACCAAATAACCTGGAGATGAAAGACAGCCAGTCCCCGCAAGGAGGGAGGGGCAATAGTAACTGTCTCACCTGGGCCCCAGCTGCAACACAAGCAAGTATGAAATCTGAGGGCGATTTAAAAGAACTGCCTACAGTGAAGTGTGGGCCTTGGATCTACTTGACATGGGTAAGGACATCCATCTGACAAAAAGGAAATTAGGACACCAAATGCTGGTAATCCAAAAAGATCAATACAATTGATAAACCTCTAGAGTTAGACTGATCAATACAAAGAAAAGACACATCAATACCAAAAGCAAGAATGAAAACAGGGGCTGGGTGTGGTGGCTTATGCCTATAATCCTAGAATTTTGGGAAGCTGAGGTGGGTGGATCACCTGAGGTTAGGAGCTCGAGACCAGCCTGGCCAACATGGTGAAACCCCGTCTCTACTAAAAATACAAAAATTAGCCAAGCATGGTGGTGGGCACCTGTAATCCCAGCTACTCGGGAAGATGAGGCAGAAGAATCACTTGAACCCAGGAGGCAGAGGATGCAGTGGGCTGAAATCGTGCCACTGCCCACAGCCTGGCACAGAACAAGACTCCATCTCAACAAAAAAGAAAAGGAAAGAAAAACAAACTTAACAGTCCCATATCTGGTAAATAAACTGAAACTGTAGTTTTAAACTGTAGTATAAAAACTTTCTCAATTAGGAAAACTCCAGGCCAATATGGCTTTTACTGGTATATTCAACTAAACAGTTAAGAAATAGTACCAACAATTTCCTCCAATATAGAGAAAGGAAGGAAAAGCTTCCACTTCATTTTATGAGGCCAGTATTACCCTGATACCAAACCAGATAGCAATTACTAAGAAAACTGACTAATATCCCTTGCAAAAATTCTAAAGAATTTTAACAAATTAAATCCAATAACATATTAATAAAGGATAATATATGACAACCAAGTGGGCTTTCTCCCAGGAATGTATGGCTGGTTTAACATTTGAAACATCCATCAGTCCATCAATGCAATTCACCATATTAACAAACTAAAAAAGAAAAGACAGAAAAAGCCTTTGACAAAAATCTAATATTCATTCCACATTCTGATCTACATACAGGCAGAGAAAATACATTATTTTTGATGAATGGTATCATGTTACACGCATATATCCTTCTGTGCTTTTGTTTGTTTCACATTTGTATGTTCTGAAGATCTAGGTATAGGATCCTCCTATAAATGATGATGGTATCCCTCACCCAGTTAAAATTCCTTGTCATTATTTGGCTTATGCTAAAGAGTACTATAGAAATGTAAACCAAGCCCACTGTAGCACTCACTGTCTGGAGACTGCAGCTTAAACTGGCCCATTCTGGATCTTCTATGTGAAGTCCCTCTGGAGAAATTTTTACAACAAAGTGTCAAGAAAGCTTTGTTTCTTTTAAAGAATACATGTTTTTTCACTCTCACCAATAGTGTGACTTTAAAGCTGACCATGCTTCTCATTTTGCCTTTGATATTGAATTTATACCTAGATTTTATTAACTGTGCAAGCTATCTTAACTGTTTGCATATCAGAATAACCCCTGTGGCCTTAATTTTCTCATTCTACTTATATTTTCCCAAACCTCAAGATTTTTGTTTTTCTATATAATTTGGTATTTTGCTGGGTTTTTTTTTTGTTTGTTTTTTTTTTTTAAAAATGGAGTTTTGCTCTTGTTGCCCTGGCTGGAGTGCAATGACACAACCTCGGCTCACCACAATCTCCATCTCCCAGGCTCAAGCAATTCTCCTGCCTCAGCCTCACAAGTAGCTGAGATTACAGGTGCGTGCCACCACACCTGGCTAATTTTAAATTTTTAGTAGAGACGGAATTTCTCCATGTTGGTCAGACTGGTCTTGAACTCCCAACCTCAGGTGATCCGCCCGCCTCAGCCTGCCAAAGTGCTGGGATTACAGGCTTCAATGAGCCACTGCTGCATTGGCATGATCTTTGCTCACTGCAACCTCTGTCTCTCGGGTTGAAGTAATTCTCCTGCCTTAGCATCCCAAGTAGCTGGGACTACAGGCATGTGCCACCACACCCGGCTAATTTTTTTGTATTTTTAGTAGAGACAGGGTTTCACCGAATTAGCCAGGCTGGTCTTGAACTCATGACCTCAGGCAATCCGCCCACCTCAGCCTCTCAAAATGCTGGGATTACAGGCGTGAGCCACCATGGCCGGCCTTATTGTTCATTTTCTTATGCAACCTTAATTTCCTTGTGAAAAGAGAGAAACTACATGTAAATATGTAAATAAATGCCACAATCACCATGTATTTGGGGCGTGTGCATGGGTGTATTTACCTGTGTAAACAACGTGGTTTTCTGTCCAGAGATGACTTTCAGCGTTTGTTGTCCTTGTGCAGAAGATGTGCTAACTCCTAGTGTGCCTTGGACCACTGACCCAGTGGTGAGTTGTTTTCCAGAAGTCTGGGGTGATGGCTGGCCAACTAAAAATGTGCCCTAAGTGAGAAAGAAAATATAAAGAACTAACCAGTAATTTCTTAAATTCAAATGCACTGTTCTGATCCCTTAAATCACATATAACATTCCATGTTACAAGTGACAACGCTCTCCCCTTTAATTCTGCAATGAACGCAAAATAATCCAAAAGAATAGTTGTGCTCTAAGTCTCTTCTAATAGTTCTCCCCACTTCTCAAACTTTGCGCCATGGTTACAGAGCAGCCTGCTGGAAACTAGTTTTGCAATTTAGTCCTCAAAGCTGGATTTAATCATTCAGACTGATAACTATCTACCTTTCTCAGTAAGAACATCCGGAACCAAAATTCTATTACTTTCCTTAGAAAAGAGCCAAGACTTCAGTGACAAGAGGAGAGAAGGTGGAAATTCGTTCCTCATCAAATCTAACCTAACTCTAAATATTACGACTTGATGCTGCCTCCTTATCACTCCCTTCTATGGGCAACTTTTCAACTGTAAATGAATACTGTTTATTACCTCATGGATATGGGAGGCAATTAGCATAGTAGAAATATTTCTTTAAGGCAGGAAGATCAGGGTTTAAACCCAAATTCTTCTTTTTTTTTTTTTTTGAGACAGTGTCTCACTCTGTTGCCCAGGCTAGAGTGCCATGGATCGATCTCAGCTCACTGCAACCTCCACCTCCCAGGTTCAAGTGATTGTCCTGCCTCAGCCTCCCGACTAGCTCAGATTACAGGTGCAAAGCACCATGCCCAGCTGATTTTTGTATTTTTAGTAGACAGGATTTCACCATGTTGGCCAGGCTGGTCTGGAACTCCTAACCTCAGGTGATCCGCCCACCTCGGCCTCCCAAAGTGCTGGGAATGCAGGTGTGAGCCACCGCACCTGGCTTAAACCCAAATTCTACCATTAGCTTAGCAGGAAGATGCTGGGTAAGTTACTAAAGTCTTTCTCAACCTCTATTTCCTCTTCTCTCAAAGCAAGCAAAAAAAGATACAGATTTTTTATTTTTTTTGAGATTCTTATTCTGTCACCTAGGCTGACGTACAGTGGCGCAATCTTGGCTCACTGCAGCATCCACCTCCTGGGTTCAAGCAATCCTCCCATGTCAGCCTTCTGAGTAGCTGGGACTACAGACCCACACCACCACACCCAGCTAATTTTGGTGTTTTTAGTAGAGATGGGGTTTCGCCATCTTGCCCAGGATGGTCTCAAACTCCTGGGCTCAATCGATCCACCCGCCTCAGCCTCTCAAAGTGCTAGGATTATAGGAATGAGCTACCACACCTGGCCAAGACATAAATATAGATAACATGGCTAAAGTGTTAGTATTGAACCCTGATCCCAGAGCTGTAAAGGTAAATCAATTATAATTAAGTGTCATTATCAAACAGCTAAATGATTTAAAATATCAGTTACAGATAACCAGACCTGGGGAGTTTGCTTGAGGATGTAAGATGTGTAGGTCAGGTGCTGAGCTATTCCTCCAGGGCCGGTGGTGCCCTGAGTTCCTCCTCCTGCTCCTCCTGCTCCTCCTCCTCCTCCTCCACTGCTGCCTCCACCACTGCCACCGCCTCCACCTCCTCCTCCTCCTCCGGTACCACTTCCTGCACTGGCAGTTGAGCCAGACTGGAGATCT